TTGATGTTAATTATTCAAATGCATCAATGATTTAAACTGTATATACTACTACTCTCAAAACTTCACCATCTCCCGCCTTTGTATCTATTAATCATTATCAAAAAGAGAAACTTGAGCGCCAGAGAGCTAAGAGGACAAATACCTGCTTCATTTTCACAACTTACAGAGTTAGTGTCCTTGTAAGTATAGTAATTAATAATTTAATTAGGACAAAATCTTAAGTATAAGAATTTTGTCATGTAAAATATTGCTTTGTTTCAGGGATTTATCAAGCAATGACTTGTCAGGATCGATACCGAAATTTCTTGCTAAATTGCCCAAGTTGACAATCCTGTAAGTTTTACAAAATGCATTTATATTATTTTTTTAATACCCGATATACCTTAATAGCTTGAAGACCACATGATGAATGTATTTCACAATGCTTCTGCAGTGATTTGAGTGGCAACAAGCTTACGGGTTCAGTTCCCAAGGCTCTTAAAGAAAATTCACATTTGCAAGTGAGGTTTGTCACCTTAGTCTGTCCTAGTTGCTCACGTATGACTACGCACCTTTTTTTTTCTCCTTGAATAAACTAAAATCATTTTACAAATATTATTGGAAAAATGACATAAAAAGAAGTTAAAAATGCAATATTCCAATTCACGCACCCAAGAAGTCAAGATCCCACATGAGAAAATGATATGTGACTGGTATTTTGCAAATCTAGTAAAATGACAAAAATACCTTATATCAAAAAGTTTATTAACAAGTTATGAACTGGTTTAAACAACAAATTAATGACAAGAAATATACTTTATTCACTAATAAATTGTGAACTAGTAATGACAAGTGTTGAATAAACAATGACAAGAAATGTACTACCAATGACAAATTTGACAGCTTTTCTTTTTTCAAAAAATCTGATACAAGGATATTTTAGTTGTTTAATTATATTTGCAAAATATCATATTAGACACCACTTCCTTCTCTAGGATTATGACCTCTTAGGTGCCTGAATTGGAATATTGCAATTTCCAACTTTTTTAATGTCCTTTTCCCAATATTATTTCAATGTGATGAGATTGCTGTATATTTTTCATTGGCTCTTCCTATTCTTGAGGCTATTGATGGGAAAAAAATTATTATTATTATTATTAGATAAAACTCAATAAAGTTACTGAGCCAAATTTAATATGTGATTCTAATTATATCCCCATATCTGACTTATCTTTCAGTTTAGATGATAACCCTAGTCTTTGTTTGAGGGATCCATGCAAAAAGCACAAGTTCCTTATTCCACTTGTAGCGTCCGTTTCAGCTTTGATGGTTATAGGCTTGATTTCTCTAGGAATTTGGATCTTAAAAATGAAAAAACTCAAAGGTACGCACAAAATACTACTAGTTTGTATTATCATATGCTAATATAAATTGCTTCTTATGCATAAAAAATTACTACTTCCAGTCCTCAATATAAGACCCAGTTGACTAATTTAGAGATATTAGAGAAAGTGAATAAATTACTTTAAAGTATTTATATTTATTTTGCTTCTTTAAACTTATTTACTTGACTTATAAACCAATATATAATCTAGTGATGCTCATAAGTATTTTTAAAGAGATCATATAATATATGTTATCATTAAGTCATTTATTTAACTTTTATAATTTCTCCAGATTAGTTAATTAGGTCTTATATTAATAACTAGAGGTAGTATTTATAATCTCTGAACTGGAAGTTCTGATTATTTTTATTAATATTTGCAGTTTCTAGAAAGAGAGGATCATCAGAACTAAGAAATCGTGCTTTTTCTTACTCCAATGTCCTTGAGATCACTGATAACTTGCAAAACTTGATTGGACAAAGTGGATTTGGAAAAGTCTATTTAGGCACCCTTAAGAATTGCACTCAAGTTGCAGTGAAGTTACTTTCTCATTCATCAGTTTAAGGTCAAAGAGAATTTTGATCAGAGGTGAAATATCCAAATCTATTAGTCTTATTTCATTGCCTTATTTTGTCAGATATTTAATCATAAACATAATTTGCTCTACATTAGTTCCTTATTTATCACATAAATGATAAAGTAATATTTGAATTGCAGGTAGAGCTTTTGATGGCTACTCATCATAGACATTTAGTTTCTCTGATTGGATATTGTGAAGAAAGTGGCGTCAAAGCATTAATATATGAATATATGGCTAATGGGAATCTGCACCATCATTTATCAAGTATAAAATTTTGCTTTCTAGCTAGGGCTTGATTTCTTGCATGTCAATATCTAGCATATCATAGCAGTCTAACCAATATGTTAGAACTAAAACGTCTATAATAAAATTTATTACAAGGGTAGTAAATGTAATTTATTTCTTAAATTTCAAGGATTGCGCAAGATAATATATTTATTAATCTATTATAATAAAATACGATAACTTGGTACTTTTTAATATTTTAACATATATTTACTCATTCTTAATAAAATAAGAGTCCATAAATGCATTGAACAACTTTTAAAGGCATAGATAAAAGAAATATAATCATACTGATTCTACAGGTAAGAAAGGAGGTCAATTGAAACGGAAAGATAGGCTTCAAATTGCATTGGATGCAGCATATGGTAAGAAACAAATCATATATGATATTTTAGTTAATTGTATATAAAAACAAATAAATTACATTTAGTAACAATTTCTTTTTCAAATGACTTAAAACAATGATTACAAATTATGTCATTCTTTACAAGTTGAGATTATTAATATTCAAAAGGGAATTTGGGTTCATTCTTTCTCTGACAATTACCTTGGTGATAAATATAACGAATTGAGTTGCAGGATTGGATTATTTGCATAATGGTTGTAAGCCTGCAATTGTACATAGAGACCTTAAGGCCTCCAACATTTTGCTAGACAAGAATATGGAGGCTAAAATCGCTGACTTTGGATTTTCTAGAGCTTCTGCAAATGATATTGATAGTCATGTCTCCACTTGTCCTGCCGGAACACTTGGTTACCTTGATCCTCAGTGAGTATTCTTATTTATGGAATACAAATTTTCTCATCAGCACATTGGCATAGTGTAATCCATATAATTGACTCCATCTATTGCAATATTGTTTTGTTTATTTCTCGTCAACTAAGAAAACTCATAAAATTAGTTTAAGATTGCAGTTCATAAAATCAATCGATTACAAGGGGAACTGTAAATGAACACTAATTTAAATAGAAGTACAATTAATTAATCAGATTTTAATACATCAATTTTCTGTTTTTTTAGAGTATGAATTATATATAGACGATGATTACAAGTTGAAGTTTTATTTAGAAATTAAAGAACTCTAAGAAAATTCTTATTGAAATTCGTTTTGAATTTTTCAAACTTAATTTAGATGGATATGATTGAATACATAAATATTAAATGGAGAGATATATTTTGAGATCTATCTAAATTTTTTTGTTTTAACTTTGCCTTGTAATAACAACACATTTCAAAATTCTGGAAACTTTACAAAAGGGAGTGATGTTTACAGTTTTGGAATAATTCTGCTGGAACTGGTGACTGGAAAACCAGCAGCAAAAAGACAACCAAACAATACCTTCATTCTTCTGCTTGAATGGGTCACCCCTAAGCTTGGAAGCAAGGATATCCAGTCCATTGTTGATCCAAGGTTATCTGCTTGGAAATTTCTTGAGATAGCCAAGTCATGTACCGCACCACTCGCAATTCAGAGGCCTGATATAAGCCAAGTCGTAGTTGATCTAAGGGAATGTTTGGCAATGGAGATAAGAATGGAAGGGACCAATCAAAACAGCAATTCAAACGTTCCTTGGATATGAGTGCTAATTTGCAATTAGATTCAAACTTTAGTGCTCCGTCTGCTAGATAGATAGATACCTGTTTACATTTCTAATATGTTAAACGTTACTTGTGTTGTTTGTTTTGAAATGTTTTGTCTCGGTCGAAATGTTATTCTTCTATTTGTATGAGTCTAATCCTTTGCTTAAAATTGTGTTTCTGTACAACTCAGTAGACGTTGACTATATCATACATATTCCTTTACCTTCGTTCCTAGAAAAAATTAGCTATTCGCTTACTAGTGATTAAACTATATTCAAGAGCATATATGCACATTATGCTTATCTAAGAGTATCTTTTACTCAAAGATACTCATGACTGTTGTGGTTACATACTCAGATATTCCTGACTGTTGTGTTACTGTATCTGACAACTACATTTAATGCTTCACCCAACGGCTAATTTGGATAATAGATATAATATCTAAACCTTATATCTAACCACTAGTTGCTCGGAAAAACTATAAATAGAAGAATCATTCACGTTTAAGGGTTTCCAATTACCAACATGAGCCTCATTATATTGCACACATACATTTTTTAGGTTTCACAATTATTCCGATCACTAAGGATCTTATCTCGTTTGTATCCTTAGAGATACTCAAGATTAGAATAAATCGTGAGGGGATTAAATTAGTCTAAGAGTTGTTCAAGCTGCTGCAAGAATCCAGTTAAACAATAAAAAAAATTTTGAACGAAGACTTTAGGAACTGAAAGTAAGCAAAAATAGCTGGAGCTGTACCCAAAATATATTCATGCATTTTATACCCATACATCGCATGAAGAAAGATGTCTGCTTAGGAATAAAAAGATAAACAAATAGATTGAGTTCATTACATACCACAGTAGCATTCAAAATTTTTCCCTTTTTTAGAACTAGCATACACCCAATGGAAAACCATCTAACGTGGTGATCACAAGTTTTCAGCATTGCATAAACAAGATCCATCTTCAGATCTTCACACCCAAACAAAGAAAAAAAGATGGGCCTTGACCCTCAAGTCTGATGAAATGGACTTTAGCACAATATATAAACCACTGTAAATTAGCATCTACCTGCCTGAGAGCTTGGTCATTGAATCAAACTGTTCAATGTGATTGCTTGGATAGCTTGACATAATATTTGATTTGGCATGATCCATCTCCGAATATAAACAATCATTTAGTTCTTGTCACACGAAAACTGTGTCCGGCGTTTGTTTGGTCTTTGGTATAACGCATGACATTGCTATCTCACCAATTTTCCATGCAGTAGCAACATGGAATTCACCTTCCAACCTTGGATCAACAATGCCATGAATGTCGCCACATTCAACTTTAGAACGAACCCAATCAATAATATAACAAATACTTCCAATTTCTCTTCTTATTGGAGGACGACCAGTGATTAGTTGAAGAAGAATCATCCCAAAGCTACAGATATCACATTTTTTATTTATGATTCCAGACTTCTGAAATCTGCAATAATGTAATGGGATATAATCAGTCACTGTACAGTAATATAATTGTTTGGTTCTTTCAGTGATAATATACTTATGTTAAAAAAAAATTTCCATCAATTTGCGACTCTGTGGATCAAATTTCAGAACAACAAGAAATAATACTAGCTCAAAACCTTAATATCAGGGCTAGTTGGAGTTGAATTTGATTCTCATAAATATAAGACATTAATCCATTTTGTTTTCCAAATTTATAATTCCTGCCAGCCCAAAAATTGTCTCTATTGATTGTACATACTAAACAGCTCCCACGAAAGGGTAGTTCACAAACATATGATCAAAGAAAGTCAACATACATTTGTTACAAATAACTAATTTAAATAACCAACTTAATTAATTTTATTATTTTCAAATTAATTGTTTAGCTCTTATATTAAGGACCAAGGCAATATAATTTAATGAATATTTCTTCATAAATGAAATGCAACCACTTACTCAGGATCAATATAATCTGACATACCAGCTGGCTGAGTTGATAGATGAGAATCTCTTTCATTTATGAATGCTCTAGACAATCCAAAGTCAGCAATTTTGGCAACCATGAAATTGTTTAATAAAATGTTGGGTGGCTACAACTCCATAAATTATGGGAGTCTTACAACCATTATGAAGATATTCCAATCTCGTAATCACATCATATCATACAAGGGAAGCCGTAAAAAGTGATTGTTAGAGAGAGGGGGAAAAAAGATCACCGATCCTCTAACCTTTTGCTGCATCAACAGCAACTTGAAGTCTCTCCCTCCATTTTAAAATATTTTGGTTTTTATCTGCAAACATCAAGTCGTTGATCAAGAAATGTGCCCCACGAGCTAGCCAAGATATGTACATGAGGATTCGGTCTTAAATGTGAGTTAGAAAATCCAAGGAGTGAAGTGAATCAAAGAAAGCCAAAGTATATATGGCAGATTTTACTATATTTAAGGCAACAACCACAAATACAGTAATTAATGAGAATTAGTCGCATAATATAAGACAAACCTGACGATAATCCGCTGAGGTCTCCAAGGTCCATGTATTTATAAATCAAAGCTTTGACGTTGTTTCCACCACAAAACCCAACAAGTAAAACTAGGTTTCTATGATGAATGACTGTTAAGAGTTGTGCCTGCCAGTTAAAAGTTAGCTCTATCATTATTAAGTAAGAACATCCTTCTGAAACCCAACTTGAATATATTCACCATTAATTGATCACAAAAAAGTTGACTTTGAAAACTACTACATGACTTTTATTCAATTCTAACCACTGAATGAAACTCTTTGTATCCTTGTCTTGAAGATGGGGAAAGCAACTTTACAGCAACCTGTGTATGATCTTCTAAAGTGCAAGGCAAACTTTCCCGAACCCTCCTTCTCTAATTATAGTTTCAAAATTGTTTGTAATATGGAGAACCTCTGAGTAAGGAAAAGCTTGATTCTTTTGTTTTAGAACAATCTTCTTCCAGGATTCGGCGGACAAAACAGCAATGTCAAATCAAACATCTTGACACTTCCTATATAATAAATGGACCAACATAGATACGTCAACAAGTACAATGAAATGATAGCATGCATAAAATCAATGCCTGCTTTCATTTTAAATCGCCTGATCACCAAAGATACATGTACAATGACGATCACTAAAGTCGAAAATGAAGCAATAAGTGGAATTACAAACTCGTGTTCTTTGCGTGAAATAGAGCAGCGTTAGACTTGAGTAATAATGGTATAATACTATAATTTTGGGTATATTTACAAAATGATCCATTGATTATTATGGTGATTGCTTAATGTTGAATAACTGACCCAAAAAAAATATATTTTCACAAAAGTCGAGACAAAATTCTTTTCATATATTCAAACTTTGTAAAATCACTTCTGAAAGCTAATCTAAAAACCTCCTTAGTATTGGATTCTACTGTCTAGCAAATGAATAATAGGAGCAATGTCTTCTATAAAGTGCACTTATGTTATGGTTGTCGTTATAGGGTGATGTATTGAATAAAATGCAATTATAGGCTTGTAGACGTGGATACTGGATATTAGGGGTGTTCAAATTATTCCGTCTTGGTAGGTTCGTCCTGGTCCTGATTACTTTGGGAAGAGACGGGACGAAACAAAAAAATTTTTGGGACCGAATGGGGAATGGGGTTGTCCTGTCTTGATCCTATCCCGGGGTATATAATTTTAAAAAAAATTTCAAATATAGAAATTAACAAAGAAAACAGATGCCCTAATTTCTAATACCATTCGGCCATATTCCTGCCTCGACGCTCCGGGGGAAAAACAGATATTCCTGTCCAGATCTCAGCCTCTCGTGTTCTCCGGCCTCCAGATTAGCTCGTCACCGTCCGCAGTCCTTCGTTGCCAACTCGTGACTCTCCCCACCACTGAGACGCCGTAGCTGGTCTACCATTTTCTTGGGCCAGCTCTGTCTGAGTCATTCGTCACTGTGAACCCTCCTTAATCTCCCCGCGAGTGGCATTCTGGTCTCTCTCCCCCGGGTCGCGTCGAAACCCATACAGAAATTCCTTCTTGCGGCAGTCCTTCAACTTCTGCCATCTCCCTCTCGGCCTCTCGCGAATTCTCCAGCGTCCTGCTCGTCATTGTCCAACAGTACTTCTCGCCAGCTCACGTCATGTCACTCTCCCGGCGAGATCGCCGTGTGGTCTGAATCTTGGGCCGACGCCTCATCACCATTTAGCCCTTGGCCGAGTCGCATTCTGGCCTCTCTCTCCCTGCTGTCAAGCTCAAATTCCTCTTGCCGCTTCAAGTCTGCTGTCTGTTCTGATTGTGTCGCTGTCGAGAATGGACAGATGCCAACATAGTTTTTATTTTCAAGGCAAGTTCATCCAGAGGCGCTTTTTTCTGCAGAATTCATAAATGATGACAGCCAATGTTACAAATTAGCAGTGTTGACTGAGGCCCAAATTTTAAAATATTCATGAATGGCTCAGTAATCTGTTAGGCCCAAAAAAAAACTTAAATGACAAGCCCAATAAAAAAACTAAAAGAAAGTCCAAAACTCAAAGGAAGGGGTAAGAGGACGGGCGGGACACAGGGCAAAAGTCTGGTCCCATCCTTGTTTACCGCGAGCCTGTCCTAGTCCCGTCCCGTTCAGTCAACACACCTACTAGATATATATTATTTGCAAACATAAAAGACAGTGACTTCTATGTATTTTAGAGACTCGACATGAAAATAATAGATTTGATCTATTAAAGCCTGTGAAACTAATAATAATTTTATAAAGTATCAATAATAATTTTAAACATAACAATAATTAGTTTTAAATTTTTAAAATAATTATCATTATTTTCGGGTGCAATGCAAAGAGAGGAGACGGAGAGAGGCTTTCCACAATAGATTAATTTTATGTTCAAAGCATCTCGGTGAAAAAGTAAAGTAAAAAATAAGCTTAGTAGGAAGAAATAAAATCCAGGTAAGATTTAGGTTCATCGTGGTGTGCTAACATATAGGTGCTGTCATAATTGTAAACCCAACTTAAGGGGACTACAAGTAAAATACAATTTGATAATGGAGAAATATGTAAACCTTAGCTCCAAATTAGCCTTTTCCATCAAAGCCTTTGGAATGGAACCCGTGAGATTATTTCCTGTAACATTACTGTAAGATGGAAAAGAACAAAAGAGAATGGGAAGTCTAAGATTATTTGGCTTCACAATCCGAGAATGAAAGCTTTAACGCAATAATATTAGATAGGCACCGCCTTGCAGGAATTTCAAATTAGGAAGAGATGCAAGAAATTCTGGTAATGATCCAGTCAGTTCATTGTTTGACAAATCCCTATGAATAAAAACGTAAATGTTATTCATAATATTGAACAACCTCATTAATTGATACTATTTGAATGTTTGGAGTCTATCCAATGAAACAACTTACAAAGACTCCAATTTTTCCAAATTAAACTAGCAAATAATGGAGCTATTACTCCAGTGAGTTTGCTTGAGCTCAAGTTCCTACAATAATTTATATGTAGTTCACAATTTTGTCACAGTAGCTAACAAACTAAAGGAGAGGCAATCAACAATTCATACTACTCTGGTACTTATTATTTGTCACTTGCAGGAGTCTCTCACTTACCAAGAAAAGCATTAAATAGATGAAATCTTTTACTTTTGCCTTTTCTAAGGAGAGCATTAAATACTAGTATTTTCTCTAAATCATTCCCTCTCTCTTCACCTTTACTATAATTAATAAGGGGAAGAATTGGAAATAAAGCACTAAAAATGGTACAAGTGATGACAAAATAAAAAGGGCCAAGATCCTTCCCTACAAGTGACAAATAATGAGTAGAGTGGTATGTTATATGACCAAAGAAATAGAAGCTCTTGGACATATTAATATAAACTCCTAATACTATATTGTTCTTGAATGCTTCAAATATAACAAGATAGCAAGATATTAACTTACAGTACGTGAAATGATTCTTATATTATTGTCATAACTGCAGTTTAGACAGTCCCAAGCTAAGTTAGACGGAACGCATGGGTCACCTTGCCAACCGAGTTTGGAGACGCCATAGATTTGCTTGATTTCCATGATAGTTTTGACTACATATATAATTTCCAATAATAAACAGAACAACCACGTCAGGGTACTGTTGTTTTAAAATGAAATTATTGATGACTGAGACAAAGAAATGATATAAAAACGAGGTAATAATAAAAGGGCAGTAACATCTTGTTGCACTGTAGGGGAATTTGGTTGCGGGGTCACTTTATAAATTTCAAAAGCATTTAGGAAAGGAGGAGCATATGAATTAGTTTCTGCTTTGACAGTGAAGTTTATATAACCTTTGGTGATCTTGTTGGAAATTAGGGTAATAGGCTTCGAGCATTGAAAGGTAACTTCATGAGAGAGGGAATTTTCATCATCATCAAAGGTGACATTGATGATCCTCTTGTGGCCAGCAGGAAGCTTTTCAAAGTGAAGGAATATATAATATTGGGCGGATATATCACCATAGCTCCAATAACTGAAATTTGCAGTTAAGAGAGTGGAATGATTCTGGGGTTGTGATGCGGTGCGTACTACTTCCGATGGCAGTTCATAAAGGGAATCCTCTACCTTTGCTTCTTCTCTTGTTTTAAAAGATCCCAGCCGGGATTATCATTGTTCTGCCATAGGCGATCGTACACATCGTCTTTGTACCTATATTTTCAAAAATAGCTAAGCAAATTATTTAGTAATCTCCTTTTTTCAATAGTTCAAGACATCTAATTTATCAAAATACATAAAAATTTACTTAAAATTAAAACAAAACAAAATAAAAACTTAAAAACAATACAACATTGTTTGTTATTCTTGCGAAAGAAGCTATTTATTAACATTTAGTATAGTATTTTTTATTTTTGGTATTTGTTATATCTCAAAATTTGAACCTAAAAGTCCAAGCAAGACTAAGCACAAGTTTAGAAGGCTGCGATGCTAGATGAGTCTAATGTCCCAAGAATGTCACGGGGATCAAAGGGCTCAAGATATATAATACAACCTTTGGCAGTTAGGGGTTGGATTTGGTTCTAAATATAAGACCTCATTCTACTTTGTTTTGTCATATTTTTCTAAAATATCTCTATTGATTGGAAGGGATTCCTACTGAGAGAATTCCGATCATCTTATACACATAATTGAAGAGGATAGTTTAATGAGACCAACATACATTTGTGACTGATAACCAACTTAATTATTTTTTTAATATTTCCAAATTAGTTATTTAACTCTTATATTAAGAACCAAAAGTAGTGATAAAATGTTTATGGAATAGATTGCAGGATTTTAATGCCCTTTTTGTGCAAAACTCATATTTGGAGTCAGAGATAAACCCGAGAAGCATGAGAAATCATTAAAAAAAAAAAAAGCAATTAAAACCGCTACAAACACAACTTTTTAACTGCTATTAAAGTATGTTTTCTGGTCAAACCGGTGATGCAACCATTAGAAAAATTTAATAAAAGTTAATTATATATATATATAAAAGAAATTAATTCATAATAAATCTAATTATTAGGATAATAATGTCATAGCACATGAATTTTTATAGAATAACACCATATAACTATAAATGGACTAAAAATATAATGGAATTTGAGAGAGAGGGTCAATTGTTCTTTTATAGGTTTTTATTGAACTTTTTTCGGCATTTTCCATGATGCCAAAAAATCATCCGGTTTTCTAAAAATTGTTCTTGTTCTCGGTTTTATTTCGACTCCCGACTCAACAGCGACTCAGCTCTAATCTAATCCAACTCAAGCATGAAAACAGTTTTTTGTAATGATTAAAGAACCGAACTGGATCAGACGGTCGGACTGGTTGAACCATTAGCCAGACCCGTTAAAGGCTCGGTTTGGACCAAAAAAACCGTTCATATAGTTGAACCGGATTAGAATGGAGTTGAGCCGTCATTAAGCCGGAAACCGGAGTTGGACCGATAACCGAAACAGTTTTCAGAAAACCAGACGGTTTTTTAGCCTGACAAAAAAAATACTAAAAAATTTAAAAAATAGAAGAAAAATAAAAAACTAACCCCCTCAAATATCCTAACATATTTTTAGACTATTTATAACCATATAGTATTATCTTATTGAAAATTTCATATATTGTGATATTAAAACCGTGAGTCATTGGCCTTTTTGTTTTGATGTCTGGTCTGTCTTTTAAAACAATGTTTTGAATTGAGTGAATTAATAATTTTTAATATGATTAAATATTTTAAACATACATAAATTTAAATATAAAAGGTTTTAGTCCATTTTCAATGATTTTATTATAATTTTGGATCATTTAAATGCATTTCTAAATTATTTAGTAATTTGATATTTTTCATATATATTAATTATATGTATATAATATTGTTTTAAATTAATTATTGCGTCACCAGTCTAACCAAACGATCCAACCGGTCTGACCGATTGAACTATGACCCGTTGATTTTTCAGGTTCGACTTCTGATCCGGCTTTTAAAACATTGGTTTTTGTTTCAAATTAGGCCGTTAGCAAGTCTGGATTAGACGGTCTAACCATCTAGTTCTGTTCGGTTCTCCAATCACTGAGATGTAGCGCCACAGCAACACACACACAAGTTGGAGTTTTTAAAATACCAATAGATTAATTACAAAATCTTGAGTTATTAGCATGAGAATCAAGACGAAAAATGGGGAAGACAAAGGGAAAGTGAGGGCAAAGTTAGGAAGAGAATACCTGGTATAAGTGGGCGTGAGCCCAGAGCCCAAGTCCATTCTTGCAGGAAAAGTGAAATCCATAATAAGGGGAAGCGGAGCTGGCTAGAGAGAGTTGTTCACTGGCCTCAATTCCAAAGCGTTGATCAAAGGTGTCCCTTGTTCTGTGTTCACCAAACACACTTGAACCATCTCTCTAGTGCCATCCTGCTGCATTATTATCTCAGTTGGAAAGATTTGGGGACCATTAGGAAATGTTCGAACCGTGGTCCAATAATTGACCCCCATGTAAAGGGCGAACACTGGAGCCTGGTTTTTCAAGTCATAATTGCCATATGCAAATATGGCTCTGATCAAATACTTCTGCTTCTAATGCTTCTCTTGTTTTGGTTTTAGAGTGTACCAGTT